AGAGTTCGCACATCGAGGTAAATTTTTGGGGGCGGAGCTGGTCGTATCTCAAAAATTTTGTACGTAGGGGCGTTCGTAAGTAGAGGTACCGCTGTATTTAATTGCTATTTCTTGTATGTTAATGGCAAGAGGCCAAACTCCACATTGCATCAAAATTGCTTGCCTTGAACTGGCTTGGTCTCATCCTTTCAATAAAGCAGGCAGAGGGGCCCTTGCAGAGAGGTATTTTTGCCCTGGTCTTATTCTCATGCCGAAAGTTATCCTATGTCTGCTCTGCACCCTGAGAGATAACTAGCATCTGAGGGTTTAGCAGGAAAACAAGTGTTGGGGGCCACCGTGGGAGGATGGCCAGAAAGTTGGGATGAGTATTAAGAGCTTTGGTAACAGTGTTTACTCCAGCAGTAAGACTACCTTGTCCTTCTGTACTGTCTGAAAAGGTTATTTGCAAAGCAGATATTTGTGTTCTAGGCTCGAGAACGTGCATGGAGGATTGGCCAGACAAGAAACGTGACTGTATACCGACTTCTTACTGCAGGTACTATTGAAGAAAAGATTTACCACAGGTCAGTGTGATGTTGCTACTGTGTTCATTTGCTGCTGTTCTACCAGATGCAAGTTTAAGCTGCAGGATTTACTTATTCCCTTTACATTCATCTTCTCCTCCTTTTGTCCTGATGTCACTTCAGGTGGTATACCGGGGATTTCCAAATGATCTCCCATCCATATACCAATCTGCTCCGGGCCTCCTTAGCTGCAGTCTGTATGCTGTATTATGTCCCTTCAAACCATGCTCTGAGCATGGTTATTTTGGAAGTAAACTTGGGATGATGCTACAACTGTCCTTTTTTTTAGTATAGTTTAGTTTGGGAAGGGGATCCCAAACAGACAAAAGATTTGAGTGATTTTGAGGGGAGGGGGCTTTTTCAGTAGCTTTTGAACACAACAGTGGAGTTGCATTCCGGGAGGGAAAGAAGGATAACTTGGTCCCCCCCCATCCCTCTTGACTTGGCAAGCTACCTTTCTTCTGCCAAAGCCATTTTAGCATCTTACAGTGTGCCCTGCCCTATCCGTCCCCAGGGCCTGAGAATCATCCACAGATGGCACAGTGAAAACCATGCTGAAGAAGCTCTGGTCCTTAAGACGTGAATGGAGTCTCTCCTGGGCCAGTGATGTGCTTCTCTGGTCTCACACACAGCATTCCACTCAGGAAGGGTGAATTCTGCTGTGGAAGCAAAGTTCCACTCGGTGCTTTTCATTCTTATGAAGCCAAATGTGTTCACATGGCATAAGAAGTTCTCTGGTTTAGGGTTCCATCAACCAACATAAGGTTTTTTTAACCGAGGTTTGAGGTAGACTGGAAGCCAGGACAACTAATTAACAGTTTTGTGCAGTCCCCATTAACAAACTCAGTGCTGCATTTTGCATATTTTGAAGTTTCTTAATATTCTTTGTGCAGTGATCCAGATGTGGCTGTGGCCTGGCTATTTCTCATAAGGAAAGGTTGCCATTGCAGGAAGTTGTTTGCCACAGAGGCAACTTAAACACTCAGTGGTTAGGCCACATCATTCACCCAATAGCACTCCTCAGTTGAGGACTGCTCCCTAACTATAATGAGCTGCATTAGGAACAGTGTAGCCCCTTTCAGGACCCCTTGGAGATCATCTTCTTGTCCAGGTCATAGTGTCAGATTTAGAATAGTTAATTACAGCACCAACTCAACTTTTCAAGACCATGAAAAACCAAGTGGTATCTATCCATCCATCCTTCCCTCCATTCACCTCTCTATCCAGAAAGGTGGATAAGCTGGTCCAAAGGGGAGCAAAAAATTATTAAAAACCTCACAGTGAGCCATATAAGCTTCAGCTTCCAAAGTCAGGAGGAAAGTGGTAGAGACACTGTGAATAGGGCTCCTTACAACCCCAAACCTGGGAACTGTTGCAATTGCGTAAGTAATGCACGTCAGAAAAAGGGCTTTTTTTTTGCTTTTTTTTTTTTTGCTACTTCTAATCACAGGATCAAAGTCGGGAAGGACTTTAGAGGCCATCTAGTCGAACCCCTTGCTTCCCATAGCCTCTCACAGTCAGTCGCTGCCAGATCAGGCTCCCCATTTTATGTATATGTGAAGCATGGATTTAATGCCACAGTATTTGCAACTGTTTACTGAGAATTTCCATTCCCTTTCCTGAATAATTTACTGTCTTCAGGAAATTTGGCCATCTCTCTGTTTATGCCTAACTTTATGGCCCAAAAAAGGCTTTGGGATTCACTTTGCAGACCTCTCTCGCTTGTGATGATGGGCCACTTGTTGCTACTCTATTTCTGTTGTTCTATGACCAGTCCAGGAGAAGTCCTCACTTTGTTCACAAGCTTTTGGTGAGGGTGCTTAAAAAGGATTGGAAAGGCTGAGTTTGCAGATGTTTTAATCTTAAATGAAGTTTTTCACTAATTTGCCAGTAAGAAATGCTAAACTAACTGTGGTCTCATTGTCCCTCTTTGTAATATATACATGAATAATCTCAACCTCTTTTTAAAAATTAAAGTTAGTGGCAAATTTTAGCCCTTGCGGATTTCTTTTTGTTAGCTGTTTAACTATTTCCCATTCGATGTATTAAAAACTCCTGGAAATACCATCTGGACCCAGTGATTTGTTTGTTTTTAATTCATCATTATGGCCTATAACTTCCCTTGTCACTTCTTTTTGTCTCAGTTCCTCAATTTCTCCTCCTAAAAAAGCCAGTTAAGGCAGAAGCATCTGCCCCCCATCTTCAGGATGTTCTTGGCCATATGCCTCTCACGTCTCTGGAGGAGCAGAATGAATCCTCATTGTCATCTTGAGCTGTCTTTGCTGAACTTGGTTGTTCTCTTCATTTGAACAAGTCTTACATTCAGCAGCTCCTTTAACTTTGCTGATTAACAGCACTGGAGTGTTCTTAGACATTGAGCCAACGTTTTTGAACAGAGTAGAACATGCTAGCTGAGCTTCTACATGGATAATATTTATAGTATTCTTGAAAGATTTACTTTTCCCTTTCCACTTTATTTTTACCATTCATTTGGGGAAATCTGTTCTTCTGAAAGCAAATGTGAGTGTTCTAGATTTTTTTCAGTAAATGTCCACTTCCAGGTCTATGGAAAGTAGCAGTTTTACGGTCACCAGTTGCTTTGTTAAATCACCTTGGAAAAGATGCTGAGCATTATTGAGGTTTAAGATCTCTTCCTCTTTGGCTGGCTTTTTGAATAGCTGTTCTAGAAAACAGACTCTTAGGATATATAGAAATGTTATCATTTTGACATGAATAGAATATGTATGTTTCCAGTGTATGAGAAGCTGATTAAAATTGCTCATTATTTTGACAGTTTCTTTTGTTCATTCCTCTGATTTCGTTTTTCATTGCTATGAAGTCAAGGAGCCTATATAGATATAGGTATATAAAAATTAAATAATTCTAAGCATCTTGGGTGGCAATATTTAATTGAGTATCATCAGCATATTGATGATACCTTACTTCAAATTGCCGGATTACCTTTCTGGTAATACTATTTTAGTCCCATTTCTAGGCCTGAAACCAGAGTGAAAGGGGCCCAGATAATCCACTTCCCCTGGGACACTCTGCAGTTGGATCTCCATCACTTAGTCAATTTTCAGGGCAGATTGAAGACAAAGGTTATCAACAGCTGGATCCATAGAGGGCCTCTTACGTAGGAGGCAAACCAGAGCACCCTGTTCCAAAGCAAGATGTTGTTTGTCTCCCAAATTTATACCATTACAGACACAGCTCCTTGCAGAGGCCATACTGGAGAGAATCTTTCCCACTTCTAAGAGTCAGTAGACCAAAATTATATTTCATTGTAGATATACCATAAAAATATATGTCAGTTATAAAATCAGTATTACTGGGGGTATTTTTAATATCCCTTAACATACAGTCAGGTCCAGAAATATTGGGACATCGACACAATTCTAACATCTTTGGCTCTATACCAAATCCATTGTGGTGGTGTATAGAGCCAAAGATGTTAGAATTGTGTCGATGTCCCAATATTTCTGGACCTGACTGTATGTTAAGGGATATTAAAAATACCCCCAGTAATACTGAACCCTTAACAAGTGGGAGGCACATATGCAAACTGTTGTAATTCCTACACCGTTCACCTGAGTTGGATGTACATACCCTCAAATTAAAGCTGACAGTCTGCAGTTAAGGCACATTGTGTTTATTTCATTCCAAATCCATTGTGGTGGTGTATAGAGCCAAAGATGTTAGAATTGTGTCGATGTCCCAATATTTCTGGACCTGACTGTATGTTAAGGGATATTAAAAATACCCCCAGTAATACTGAACCCTTAACAAGTGGGAGGCACATATGCAAACTGTTGTAATTCCTACACCGTTCACCTGAGTTGGATGTACATACCCTCAAATTAAAGCTGACAGTCTGCAGTTAAGGCACATTGTGTTTATTTCATTCCAAATCCATTGTGGTGGTGTATAGAGCCAAAGATGTTAGAATTGTGTCGATGTCCCAATATTTCTGGACCTGACTGTATGTTAAGGGATATTAAAAATACCCCCAGTAATACTGAACCCTTAACAAGTGGGAGGCACATATGCAAACTGTTGTAATTCCTACACCGTTCACCTGAGTTGGATGTACATACCCTCAAATTAAAGCTGACAGTCTGCAGTTAAGGCACATTGTGTTTATTTCATTCCAAATCCATTGTGGTGGTGTATAGAGCCAAAGATGTTAGAATTGTGTCGATGTCCCAATATTTCTGGACCTGACTGTATGTTAAGGGATATTAAAAATACCCCCAGTAATACTGAACCCTTAACAAGTGGGAGGCACATATGCAAACTGTTGTAATTCCTACACCGTTCACCTGAGTTGGATGTACATACCCTCAAATTAAAGCTGACAGTCTGCAGTTAAGGCACATTGTGTTTATTTCATTCCAAATCCATTGTGGTGGTGTATAGAGCCAAAGATGTTAGAATTGTGTCGATGTCCCAATATTTCTGGACCTGACTGTATGTTAAGGGATATTAAAAATACCCCCAGTAATACTGAACATTCTCAAAAAGAAGGAACGCACCGGTTAGCTCAGCCAAATCCATTGTGGTGGTGTATAGAGCCAAAGATGTTAGAATTGTGTCAATGTCCCAATATTTCTGGACCTGACTGTATATTAGGTCAGCTTTGACTAGAAAAGGCCAACCTAGAAAGATGTCTTCTAGAAAAGTTACCTAAAATATGTTAGCGTTGGGGCCTTGTATAGTGCAAAGATGATGTTCCCCAAGACCTCTTCTACATTGCTATCAAGTAGTAATCCACAAACATTAATCTGGGTTGATTGCAAACTGACCGCCAGCATGATCTTTGAGCAGAGGTGGATATGTGCCCAAGAAAACAATAACTTAGCCTTTTCTTCTCCAGCCTGGTCCCCACCATATGTGTTGAGTCTGCAATGCTCAGAATTCCCTATGCTGACTGCAAAGGCTATTCTAGTTGAGAATTCTGGAGATCTACAATCCCAACACAACTGGAAGGTTCTGCTTGGGAAACGTTTAACTCTGTCACTGCATGCTGCAGTAGCAGTAGCTTCTGAGTCAGTCCAATGTAGAAAGTTTTACAATAAGTTTTAGGGTTTGCTAAATCCTAATTTCTGTTCTTTCTTTTTTGCTCTGGATCTAGCTATTCTCCTTCTTTTAGTTGCTTTGCCCATGTTCCCTTCTTTCCTTGGGAGAGAAGATTAAATGCTTTGTAGTTAATCGTTACCTTTTTTGAGTTATAGTTGCAGTAGACAAAAGTCAGTGATTGAAAATTGAGAATAATTCTGAATTTAAGCATAGCAAGGGGTTTTTACTTCTATTGAAATTATTTATTCTATTCCATTGATACCTTAAATATTTTCTAAGCTTTTAAGATCTTTAGCATTTTCATGTATGAGTTAGATTGTGGAATTGTGCGTGTGTGTGAGAGAGAAAAAAATTAGATACAGCAGGAAAAATGTTTTGAACAGAGAATATATGCATCACTTATCACAAAATATTATTTTTCCAGACAAATATTCAAACAGTTTCTAACAAACAGAATTTTGAAAGATCCAAAGCAAAGACGTTTTTTCAAATCCAATGATCTCTATGAACTCTTCACACTGAGCAGTCCAGATGGAGCCCAGGGGACAGAAACCAGTGCCCTATTTGCAGGTGTGTCCAAAGGGAAACTACAATATTCATGTAATAAATTCAAAAGCATGAGCAGCAGGTGATGGTTTTTGTAATGCATTTCAGGAACTGGTTCCGATGTTCCAACACCAAAGCGGCCGTTGAAGCGTAACGATGCAAACGTTTCTGAATTTTCTAAAAGATGTCGTGCGAAGCTAACCTCCAGGCAGTTAGATTCCTTTGCAGCAAGAAAATGTGTAAATGCATCTGTTACAGCAGTAGAATCAGTTGAAACAGCCAAGAGAAACTCAGAAATATCCCCTTGTCCTCTTTCAAAAGATCCTGCCAACATTCCTGCTGCTAATACAGATTTGTTCATGAGGACAGAAGAGAAACCTTCAGATTTGGCCGAGGATCCACTTTTCAGAGCACAGCCAGGGGAAGAAGGAGCATTGAAGGAAAGGGGGTGGGCTATTCCAGGTGGTGACTGTGGTATAAGCAAGGAGGGACCGTATAACAGGGAGCAGGAGGGTAATCCTCAATTGGTTACTAATCCCAGAAAGACCTCAAAAACGGAGCATCCCAAGAGCAAACTGAAGAGGCCCAAACATTCTAGAGATGCCAGATTCGAAGGCGTACCTGTTCCTCACCTGGTGAAGCAGAGAAAGTACCAGAGGGAAAATAGTGAGGAAGTGCAAGATCCAAAGAAAAGTGATGATTACGTTTTGGAGAAGCTTTTCAAAAAATCAGGTAGTTTCCTTCTCTTGTGCTGTTTTGTTAAAAAAAATAATTCCAAATGTGACAGAGGTCCAAATAACTTATTTCTATTTAAAAATTGTTGCTGACAGATACAGACTGAGAGCAGGAACATTATTGCAGTCTGAATGCATTTGTGCGTGTTTATTATTTATTAATTTCTTGTTTTTCATTCAGGAGCCGAAGATGTATATATAGCACTCCTTCCTCCTCTTTTTCCCCACAACAAAGCATTGTCAGTATAGAATTGTTTCCTGTACTACTGTCACCACTCTGGACACTGCTGAAACCCACTTCTGTCTGCTTAGAATTTTGCCAGCTAGATAACTCAGTTGTGGCTTTTTTTTTTCCTGATAGAAAGGGAAGTAGGTATTTGCATCAGTTCCAACTTACACAATAAAACATCAGCAAGTAATGCCAATTGATATTCTGATGAATGGTGAGAAACATCCCAGATTATGTCTAGTAGCAAAGTCTGAGGGTTCTAAAATATATATATCAAAAATCAAAGGAGAGAGTAGACATCCTTGTTTAATATCTTTATAGAGAGAAAATAGATGAAATCATTAACCTTTGCTTTAGAGTGGAGACTGCATACAGGATCTGGACTCATTTTATAAATCCTTTAGGAAATCCAAATTTAGCTAATGTAGCATATGTAAACTGCCTATAGAATTTATCAAAAGATTTTTTTGCATCAAGCAACTGGGTCTTTTATGTCTTTATTCATTCAGTCAAATCCACTACCAGCTAATATTATCTGATCCATGAACACCAACTTGATTGTTTTAATCACAGAATAAATGCTTTTTAATAATCTTTTGGAGGACCTTATCCAGTATAGACATCACATTGACAGCTCTATAGTTTCCCAGGTCCTCCATCACTCCACTTTTTGAAGATGGAAATGGCATTTGCTATCCTCCACTCTTCTGGGCATTACATGAATATGTAGTGCCAATTTATATTCCAATGAATGGTGAGAAACATCCCAGATATGATGGGACTTCATCAGTCCTCCCGGAGTTCTCAAAGATTAGACAACTACTGAGAGCAGTTGTATAATCACCTCCACTAATTTCTTCAGGACCCTAGGATGTGATCCATCTAGCCCTGGAGACTGGAATTTATTTAAATTAGCTAACATTAACACAAATACTGAAGAGTAGAGGGCTCAGCCCCACTTGATACCTCTCTCCAATCCACCAAGAGAAACTAATATCCAACCTATCATAGTGAATTAGTTGAGACAAGAAAGGAATTTACCCACCCAGTTCATTAGAGTTCATTGTGTAGCCTATTATTCTCCATTCGTGCATTGTCATTTGCATCAGAAAATCAAAAAGCAAACCTCTTCCCCATCCTCGTACTGAAATACTCATGCTGGATTCAGGGATTGACTGCCTATGTCTCGTGCTTTTGGCAACAGTCTACTTTCTAAAGCAGGTCTCTCTAGGGCTGTGTGGGAATTCTTCATCAGCTATCTCATCTTGCTATCACTGTTACTCTCTGCAACAGCATAGTTTGAGGGGATGGACTCTTTCCTCAAGGAGATTTTGGGTGAGACAGATCGTAGCATTCTCCCCATTTCTTCTGTGACAGTTGGAGGTTTGTTTTTAGTAGTTCATGTGCAGAAGCTACGTTTCTAGAAGCAAGGCAGCTTGTGAGGCAGATCAACTCTACCTCTACACTTCTAATTAAATTGTTTTCAACTCCACGTGCAGAACATCTCCTCAAAACAAAATGTTTAGCCTCTGTACTGCAAAGCATCATGTCAAGGCAAAGCATGCCTATTAATCAGGCAGCTATTTCTGTTCATTCAAAGGGAATGGAGAGATGATTTTTTTTTTTAAGTAATTAATTCCTTCTTGTCCCAGGAATACACAGTGTAATGAAGCATGATGCCATTATGGAAGCTTCTAATCCAGATTATGTGCTGGTGGAAGCAGAAGCTAATCGTGTTGCTCAAGATGCCCTCCGAGCCCTAAAGATTTCTAGACAACGATACCGGGGAGCTGCTTCCACTTGGACTGGTACCACCCCAACAAGATTAAAGTAAGCCTATTGACATTCCCGTTTGGATCAATTACTTTGTCCTACTTTATGCATTTCAGGACAATTTCTCTTAAAGTATTATTAATTTGGTGATAGGCCGTATCTAAAAGCATAATTTTGCCGTTTTTCAGAGAGAAGGTAAATAGCCAAACCAAATTGCAAACCCACCCTTCTTGCTGAGGTGTGCAGATTCTCTACTTTAGTTGTTATAATTATCTATGGAGCATCAGTATCTAAATGGAAAGCTTGCAAAGTCTACTGATGCTGCCTAAAATGTTGAAGGACAAGATGTTCTGATGCTCTTTGGTTGTTAGGCAAGAGAAATTGCCTTATCTCATTTATCTTTACATTATTTTATGAGATAGATAATATTTTTTTGTTTCTTGGCTAAATTAACAGGACATGAGAAGACTGGCTTGCCCAAAGCTTAAATATTCCCACTGTGTTGTATATTTCTGCTATACAGAGAGGGCAGGGTCATCTCCATATTTCCTGCATGCTACTGGTAGCATCTTTAGCCTTAATATTTAAAGGGGTTTGCAGAGGGGAATTCAGCTTGAGTAAAACCTTTAAAGCAATGGTTAGGAAGCTCTAGTCTACAGCTGCCATTTCTCAGCTCTGTCTTCTGCATTGAAATTAGTTTTAAAGGGGAAAAAAAGGGTTCTTGACCTAGAAAATAATTTAAGCCTAATTGCTGTGTGAGTAGAGGGTAGGACTAATTCTCCTGTGTGTTGTAGCCCCACAAAAATATTTCCTTCCCTTAATAATTAGGCTTTGAGAGAAAAAGGCTCCAATCATAGAAAAAGGGACAATGAGTAATACTCGTAACTGCCACACTGAAAAAGAACAAAGGAGGCAGGAGAGATAGTGAGAATAAGATGGAAAAATGGGACTCAGGAAGTGGACAAAAGAGATGACTTAATAGATGTAGTTTGTGGGTAGAGGTCAGCAGGAGGTGTATATGGTGCTAACCTTCCTGTTTTTTGCTTTGCCATGTAGCCCTACAGCATTAATCCATATGTTAATGTATCTTCCTTGTGATGCCATGAGATTGATTTGTGAAGAATATATCTCTGATTCTTTGGTAATTTCAGAAGCAGATTTGGCCAGAAGAGGAACCCAAATTTCATAACACCATCTTCCTCCTACCAAACTCCAGGAAAAAAGTGCAAGTTGAAACATGAGCAACTCATAGTGAATGTAAGAAACATAATTCTTTTGTAGTTTCACATCTTAAATACAAAAGCAACTAAACCTATCTTATTTTTACAAGTTCCAATTGTTCATCTTAGCTTGCATGCTGTATTCCTATTAGTTCCTTTTTGTCTACCACAGTGGTAGCATATTAGGTATGCCTCTTGAGAAATTGTGATTACATCTGATTGATTACAGATTCTTCATTTTCTTGTCTTTGCTATCATTAATATCAACTGGAATACATCTGCAGGAGATAGCATTTTTTTTTCCACATTTTACTTGTACCTTGATTACATGCAGGATTAAAAGATCCCCAAAACATGTTCCAGAAAGCAGAATAGGTCCTAAGTGGTTCAAGACACATTGATAAACGTTTGGAAGCAATTTTCAAATGTCAAGAGCCAGAGATGTTCTTCCATCAACAAGAGCATCATCTGTTTTGGGAAAGGCCCATTTAGATCCCATGAGCTTCCCTAATTTGGTCTGATGCAAGATCCACTAGGGTACCAAGAATACCAGAAGTTTAACCCAGAATACGCTATCAAATCCAAGACATATCTTAAAAGCATACCTTTAAGGCAAAGCCATAGAAGATATAGATGGGGAAGAGGAAAGAAGGAAAAAGATAAATTAACTCTTCAGGCCGGGTCTTCAGTCAAGGAATTAAGGGTCAAGTAAGCCATTCCATTCCATCACTGTTACCCCACCAATTCAAATCCTGATGCAGGGGTCCTTTTTCATAGAATGATGAACATACCTCCTCTGGTAATTGGTTTCATCATAAAACTACTCTCATTGTTTAGAATTTATTTATAATATTCAATTGGATTTTGCCGACCTGTAACTTGAGTCCATTATTCCATATTCTGCCCTCTGAGATAATTGAAACAGGACCCAGCATTTTCCTCTATGTGACAATTTTTCAAAGAATGATGCCGTACCCTCCCCTCACCACCTTCTTTTGTTTCCTATGTGAAGAACTTCTGTTTCATTTGCTTCTGTTCAATGTCATTCTGTTATTTTCAACCTATTTTTCAGCCTGTCAATATTGTTTTGAATGTTATTTCTGTCTTCTAGGGCAGGTATTCAAACATTTTCAGGCCATGTAACGTATTTTTTTTTAATTCCCAAAACCCCTGATCTAGAGCCAAAGCTCTAGCGATAGAAAGTTGGCTGTGTTCAAGTGAACTTTTTGTTGTCCTAGTCTCAGAACCTCATCAATTTCTGGCTGAACCATAGGACTCTGCAGAACATAGTTCAGAAAGCCCTGTTCTGGGATATTACTTATCTCACAACACACCCAATTTTATGTCAATTCTAGAAGTAGCAAAAGAGTCATATAATAAGTTCTATTCTATGTCCCTATATAGAGAGACTGGAAGATATTTTCCAGTCAAACTGTATCCCAGTTGAGGTATATGCTTCCACCTCCAACCCAAGCCCCACTCTGTGCTGTTGCATAAGAAGACAGAACTTGGATGCTGCAGATAATACGGGGGGTTGGGGAAGGGTCCTTGACAACTGAAAATTACTAGGTCTGCACAGCTAAGAATGGTTTCTAGTGGAAAAAAGTGGCCTCATTTTTTTACACATATGCTAAAACTTAAAAGACATGATTTGAGTTTTTTACACTGAAGTCATCAGATTTGCAGAATGGCAGATTAATACTGCGAGACATGCGCTTCTGAAATCATGGCTGCATTACACACTTAACATTGCTCTCTAGCAGTGTTTGGGTTTCCAGTAGTCCCAAACCAAGTGCCCCCATGTATCAAACCAGGACCAGGGGGTGATACTTTTTTTTCCTCAAATTGTTTGATCAAGAAATTCTGTGCCATCCAGATTCTGCATAAAGAGTTTATCATGTATGGCTTGGTAGGTAGGTAAACCTTTATTGCAGTCTTTGACCAACATGCGTCATGTATGACTTGACATAGTCCGTCCTTCCTTGCTTATGGTGCCAGCTGGGTTTGGTCAATTTTAGTAGGTCCTATGACAGGTCTCAGAACTGAGGAGCATTAAGTAGAAGTCATCCTTAGGGTGTGCCAGCTCAATTCAGAGGTTGAGCCAGCAAATGGATATTTTGTAGATCAAGGCTCTCAAATGCCAGCACCATTTATAATAATATATTGTCTTTTGTTAGGCATGAGAGTAGGGAAGAGAGCCAAGCCTTCTACTCATTAACTAATCATTCCCTTCCATTTTTCTCATAGCATGCTAGTCTGGGAGGTATATGGATAGTTCTTGACAGCTTCTTGAAATTTTCCTAAAGGCAGTTGCAGTAGCAAAACATTTGAGAAAACTATATTCCCATATGATTCACCACCTCCTTTGTCTGAGAAGCACTAATTTGTATGGTCTCCCATAGCTCCTATTGGTCTTGGAGGGAGAAAAAGGAGAGGTCAATACACAGCAGTGAGAAGAAAACCATGGCTCCTTCTGTTTGATTCTTTATCTTTCATAGCTGGGTTGCTTGTGAGTTGTTCTCCACTTGGGCAAATAAATTGACTTCTCTGAGATCAGCATCAGCAGAGGAAGGACAGGAAGAGCTCTCCTTTAAACAGGTTTACATGTTTGTGAGAGTAAGGAAGAAAGGTGGGTGGGACATGAGAACAATGCCATCTACTCAACTACTCAGAAGTTCAGTTGTGTTCAGTGGAGACCATATCTAGGAAAGTGTGCATAAAATTGCAGTTTTGCAATGTAAGCTTGTCCCCATTTATTCAAAAGTAAGCCCCATAGCATCTAAGGAGGCTTCTTAAATGTCTTCTTCAAGATAAGACTATCTCCTTCTATAGTGTTGCTAGTTTAGTAGATCAGGGGAATGCCATATTCATAATGTGCTTGAACTTCAGCAAAGTCTTTGTCAAAGTCCTTCACAATATTCTCCTTAATAAATTTGTAAATATGGGCTAAGTGCTGCTGCTTTGAGAAGAATTCATAATTGCTGATTGACCACATCCCAAAAATGATTCTTTAGGTTGTACAGGGAGTTACCCTGCTTTTTGGATACTGGCATCACACAAATCAGAAAGAACTTTTCTGATAAGCGTTAACTGTTTTACATTCTACAATGTGAGAATTCCTTCCAACATTTCCATTTGTATTTGCAGGATGTTGAGAAAGGGAGAGAAGAGAATACAAGTAAACTTTCTCACTTTGATGGACAAGCAGGAGCAGGAGAGTCCTCTTCAAGTGTGTTGGACTCATCTTCATTGCTGGCTAAAATGAGAGAAAGAAATCATCTGACTGGATCCCAGGGGAGAGATGATCAAACTGAGGGGAGTTTCCAGCACACAATCACCGTACCCCCCACAGCAACAGAACATGATGAATTGCTGTTGGATATCCGGAACTTCATAGCTTTCCAGGCCCATGTGCCTGGTCAAGCTAGCACTCAGGAAATACTGCACGAATTTGAATCAAAGCTGACCATGGAACAGTCTTGTGTCTTCCGAGAGCTCCTAAGAAATCTCTGCACTTTTCATAGGCGGTCAAATGGAGAAGGGCTTTGGAAACTAAAACCAGAATTTACCTGACCATTCTCTGGAATTGATTGCCCCATCCAACACTTTTTAGCTCTTTTTAAAATGATATGTCACAGAGAAATGTGTCTTATTACACTTTTGTGTCCTGTTCTACATAAAGAGTACCACCAACTTATAAAACAGGAATAGAAACCAATTGAACATTTTCCTTATTTAAAAAAGAATTAAAATGGACCTTAAAATGGATTTCTAGTAAGCTTTCTGGTAAATCACGCTATAAAAATCAGAAAGTACAAGCTGTTTATTTGAATAAATAATACCTTAAATAACAATCAAGTGATTAGCCATGTACATTAACAAATTAGTAAGAATTATTTTCAAAACTGAAAAATATTAGTGTCACATAAAAATGTAATCTGTATGAGATAAATTCTGGCAGTAGAGAAAGTTAAGTGAAAATTCATAAGTCAGGTCATCTGTTTTGGTTTTGAAATTGTAATAGAGCAGATTTCTCAACATTTTGGGGCTGTTTAACTGTTAGATGGGATGAATGTATAGACATTATTTTGCAATGGTAGTTCATCCTGGTTGTAAAATGAACATGATTGTGCCAAGTTTGTAGAAAGCAGTAGAAAACCTGTCTGCTCAGTAGAATTGATCTGTTCCGCCAGCTGTCCTCTCAGGCCATGTTCTCCTTGGCCCTTTTCCCACATGCTCAGTTGTAAACTCCAGTTATTCAAATGCCTGATTCTTCCCTTCCTGATCTGCTTAGATGGTTGAAAATTTATATTGAGCAGCATGGAAGAGGTTGCTGTTGTATCCTGTGTTATGGAAATCTCCAGTGGCAGAAATTTGTTCCTAGCTGTATTCACTAATTAACCAAACATTCATTCATTCATTCTGTATGGCTGCCCATCTCAAACAAATGACTCTAGGCAGCTAAGAACAATTTTAAAAAAATACAAAATAGACAATTGGCAGCTTAAGTTTTAAAAAAATCAATACAGATACCGTACAAATATTTCAACAAAACTAATTCTCAGGCTCCAACAGATGCTCTGACCCTCAAGCCTGGGAACACAGCCATGTCTTCAGGATCTTGTGAAAGGCCAACAGGAGCAGGGCCAATCTTATCTCCAGGGTGATGGTGTTCCACGGCAGGCACAGCATAAGAAAAGGCGCTCTTCCTGAGTCCCGCCAGCTGGCATTCTTTAATGGATGGGACCCATAACATGCCTTTCCTGCCATATTTGATGGGATGGGACAAGATCAGGGAGAGGTGATTCTACAAATAATGGCCCTATGCCATGGAGAGTTTTATATGTAACCACCAGCACCTTGAATTCAACCTGGAAGCATATTGGCAACCAGTGCAGCTTGTGGATAACGTGCCAATCAAGAAGCACACATAACTGGCCAAACTGCAGCATTTTGTACCAACTGCAGCTTCCAGATGCTCTTCAAGGACAGTCCCACGTAGAGCATATTGCAATAGTTCATCTGTGAGGTGACTAAGGTGTGTGTGTCAATGAACAGAGCCTCCCAGGGTGCAACTAGCACACAATGTGAAACTGCAAAGGTTCTCCTGTTCATGTCCACTACCTGTTTCTCAAACAGGACCCCCAAATTGCACACCAGTTTTGTTTGGGGTAGTGCCACCACATCCAGAACAAGAGGTGGAGAATCCCCAGAAACACGGATCCTGGAACCCAAAGCCATTCTGTCTTGCTAGAGTTCAGTGGAAGCCTAGTCTGCCCCATTCAGACTTCTACAGCCACCAGACACAGAAACAATATCTGCAGCAACACTTGGACCGCCCAGGATGGAGATGTAAAGCTGGGTATCATCAGCACATTGATGATACAGTATAGGGAATAAAGCAAGGTAATTTTATTTAGAAGGATTTTTTTTTTTTTTTACAAGAGGTACCCTTTCTAGGAGGGAACCTGGAAAAATAATATTGCTTTTTATAGGATAACAGAGTTCTCATTTAATACAGTAGTTACACTATAAGCATAGTTTCTGTAAGCTCATACAATACAACAAGCTTCAATTCCCCTTCTTCAATTTTGATTTCCCCTCAGGCCCCCTTTCTCAAGACTTCTAGGAATCTTCTACTTTTCCAGGCAGAGACAGGATGTTGAATCCATTATCTTGATATGCTTTTAACCTAGCTAAGGAAAATTCCACAACACCTGCTATGAAACTGCAATGGAAAAGGAAATCATTCTCTTACTCTTTAGGCAACCCACTACATTTCTGTGCTGTGCAGTGTCAAATGAAGCCTTTTTGCATCCCAGTACAGAAGCCAAGCAATTTTAACACTGGTGTTAACAGTACAAGTTGAATAAGCTACATGAGAGAGAGGAGGGCAGTGTGTGGGTGTGGTTATTGGGATTGAGATGGCATTATGGACTTTCCACATTTCTCTCATCTTAGTACAGCTAGGGACTTGATATTATCAGAAGGATTTCATTCAGAAAAGACTGGCTTAACTAGGTGACAGAGATTCTGCATAATGGGGATGTGCAACGAGAAATATTCACATCTCATTTAGGGTTTGCAGGCATTCAGTCAAGGAAGACAGAGAATGATGTGACAACGTTCTCTAATTCACTCTCTTAGGATCGTCCTCTTCATTCTTGCCTTGCGTTCCCCAACCTTAACTGTGCTTCTCGCTCTCAACTTTCTGAATCTGTTGCAGTACTTTCAAAGAAGGATGAAATAACACTGATGGGGGATCGTAATTACTGTATTCTGACTATATTATGATTATTACTATTATCTCTCTCCTGTAGGTTGAATCTCTTTTTGACTGATGAAAATCTTGCTAATTTTAAAATCCAGGGAGAACTCCTTAGCACCTATTCCTTTTTGACAGATGCCACTATGCAACAATTTTAAGAGCCAGAGGTCATTTTAGCTAAACCTTATTTCATTCAAGATGAGTGGTATACCTATAAGGAGTGCACCTATCTGGAGGTAAATTCTTAAGCTCATCCTGTTGGAGATCAGAGTCAAATGCAATAGATCAAAAACAAAAACAGGAACATCTCAAGCAGATTTCTTGTGTTCTGCCCAAAGGTCCATGTCATTTTCTTATGGAAAAGACAATAGATATCTCAAACCACCCTGATGTCAGTCCCAACAGGTCTCTTCCAAGACTCCACTGACAGCCACAAATGGTGGTGACTGAAGCCTAAGTTATTTCAGCCACAAACTCCTAGCTGATATAAACCATCAAATCAGGGTACGTTTGTCAGCAGGGGTCTTGTCTTTTCATCTGCCATCTAATGATTACCTTGGTGACTCACTAAGCCTCCATAACATTTCCATTCATGCACTGGCAACTTACTGATAAGTTGTCAGTGCATGTACATACCCTCCCCAACACACAAATTTAAACCTGAATAAGTTCCTATTATGTCTACAGGAACATCTTTCTCATCAGCTCATAGAGAGAGCTCTGTCTCCTCAAAGAATTAATCACTGAGAAGCCTGCCTGGACAAGCAATCAGGAATTGCTTCATTTTCTTTGGGGAAGATCTTAAAGCTCCAAAAGTGCATACGGACTCTGCAAAGGAGACATTAAGCTAATAACTCATGTTTCCTACTCCAGCCTTCCTACTTCTGGCACACTCCATACTTGCTATTCCAGTGACTTCTGGCATATCAGACTAACATAGTCAATAAACATTACATCAGTGTTCTCAATTACCTTCATCATGTAGCTTCAGACCAAAATCCTGAACTGAACCTGGAATCTCCTAGATTTACAGTAATAGCTGGCAGCTTTACAGGCTGGGGAGCTCACAGCATAAATCTGCCCAAGAAAGTAGCCTACAACATCTGGAGAGAAGATGTTCCGTGCTCCACGGAAACTCAAAAACAGCTTTCAAGCCCTTGCAAAACAGACTCTCAGCCTTCAGGAGAAGAAATAGGCACCGAAACAGGAGTTCATGGATTGATCCCCAAAGACACAATATGTAGTAGATATAGTACTATAGAGTACAGGGATACAATTCTATATGGATCCAAATTGACCCACTGGCTTATGAAATATGCTGTCTGGCAGGAGCAGCTATCAGGGATATGAAAGATGAGCTTCCAAAATATCAAGTACACTAGCCGCTCTCCTTTTCTGCCAATTTATGTGGAGACTGCAGTTACAGATACAACCATATTTTGAAACTTGAAGAAAGAAGCTGAAGACACTGGTGGGTCAGTTGGTGTGATTAATTCAGTGAATGGACTTGGCAGTGCTGTGGAGGACAAATATGTGAGAGAAGAAATAAAAACAGTAATGCTTTTGGTGTCTAGTATCACCTGCCAACCAAGGGAAGATGTGGGCAATGCTTCCCAAAGCAAATTGCAGATATTTCAAAGATGGGAAATAATAGTGATGGAAGATTTCAGTTCACTCAGTAACTTGGAAGGCAAACTCTGCCAAGTGTGGTCATTCCAGAAAATTCCTGACTTGTTGAAAGTTTTTAGAGAGTGAAGGAAGGTGCAGGAAGATTGGCTAAGATTGACTTGATATTAATCAGTAGGGAGACCTAGTTGAAGAAATGGAAATAGCAGGAACATTGGGGGAGAGTGCTAATTTACTACTAAAGTTCTTGATTTTAAGGGAAGCTGAAGTTCAGTGTAGTAAAATGTGTATCTTGAACTTCAAAACAGCAGGTTTTAATTAATTCAGAGCAACAATAAATACAATTCCATGGTAGAATAAGCTAATGGGAAAAGGAGTTCAAGATGGGTTAGAAGATCCAAAACAAGCAGATATTAAAGACACAATTGTAAACAATTATAATGGAAGAGGGAAAATGGAGTGCACAGAAAGCTTACTGAATATTTGGAAACAAAAGCGGCATATGAGAAATGGAAAGAGGACCAGGTCATCAAGGAAGAGTGCAGACAGGTAGCCCAGAACAGTAAAGAGAATGTCAGCAAACTGAAAGTTCAGAATGAGCTGAAGTTAGCAAAGAACACCAGAAACATCAAGAGATTATTTAAAATACATTCAAAATAAAAGGAAGAGGAAAGGATCACTATGCCAGCTGCCATGTGATGATGGTAACATGCTTGCAGGTAGGGCTGTTCAACTCTCAGTCTTCTCCAAGAAGAAAATATGTTTCCCACCAGCCAAATGTTAAGACCAAAATAAAAGAAAGCACTGAAGCTTGAAATATTCTTTGATCATGTATCTTATCAGTTTACTTTGAATTAAATTAAGTGTTCCAGGCCAAATAAATTTCATCTTAGCATTGCTTGATGATGTTTTAG